TGGTTTGTCAGTATCTAGCTCGCAATTTTAGATAGTAATCAAGCTGGGGATTTAGTTTTACGTACAGTGTAGTTAGGATATGGAATATCCTGCCAACGACAATGTTTGAGGCAGAGTCCATGTTTGCTTTCAAAAGGGAACTTATAATAATGATTATAATAATAATCCTGGCATTTGATACAGGGCCTTATCACGTCATTGAGATGTCTCAAAGGGCTTTACAGAATATGCTGTAAAGTGAACTGACTGTATGTTTTGCGGACGAAACTCGGCAGCCAATTGTGTACAGCAGCGTCCCACAAACAGTCGTGGGTTGAGTGACCAAGTTATTATTATTTATCTACTTTCAGGGGATTACTATTTCAGGAAAGCGATCCGTCAATCGACTTACAACCAGATTCCTACTTACTGCTAGGTAAACTGAGGCATGTAGAGCAAGGAAACTTGCCTAAGGTTTGGCCTTGCCCTGGAATCAAACCCAAGTCCTCTCACTTGCGAGGACAGTGCTCCAACCAATACGCTACAGGACTCCACAACCTTAAAAGGAGGCAGTTACAGGGGTATGAGGGGAATGGGCTGGTAAATGGGTCTTAAAGGATTGCTCTTAAAGGAGACGCGATGGTCTGAATGGCCTTCTTCTGCAGTGCAGGATCTGGGATCAGGATCTAAGGAATCTTCGTTCAATACCATTTACTCGTGGCTTACTTACAAATGGGATATTGGAAAAAGTACACTGTGACCTGTATCATCAAAAAACGTTATTCACTTGAAATCTTGGTCTGATAAATACTCAAACATTTATAGAAATTCGTATTTCTTCCTTAGCTTTGCACACTGTCTGAATTCCCACTCTTTTAATCATCCGCATTGGCTTATAAACGTATAACAAGTAAGTGAGTAACTCACATCAACATTGACTGGAGCTTCTAGTATATGTGGCAGAGTCTAGAGGAAATAAACGGTGGATACAGTTAGAATTGAGAAGACCCCATGACCCATTCGATCACATCCTTGCAAAACATCTTCCCATTAAAGTTTGATAAAGGACTCCAAATGACCTGATAAGGAGCTCTAATTATTATTATTACATGTAAAAATATTTGCCATGTTTCCTCTCTCTATCCCAATAAGCATTTTACTTGGTGGAACCTATGAGGTTCCACCAAGCACTAGAAGTATATCACATAGTTTTCCAATATCAAATTCGACCTTCAAAACTAATAATAAACTTCGCATTTGATACAGCGTCTTTTCATGTCTTCAAGACGCCTCAAAGCGCTTCACAGAATATATGTAAAGCGAATTGATATTTTGTGGGCGAAACACCTCAACCAGAAACTCAACTTACCTCCAGTATAACCTGTTCATTTTCAGTGATGATTCTTTGTGTTTCCCAAAGCCTGGTATTGAGGTAGTGTTCACTGTGAACACACATGAACAAAGTCCCACTAAGCAAGAGTGAGTAGAGGCACAGCATTTCGCTTTGAAGCCCTGGAGATCCTCTGTTTATTATTCATTTACACATAATTTTAATGCTTTTATATCATGCACAGCGGAAATGAGTCAATCCACCGGCCAAGTGGAAGAAATGAGAAATATCATGTAATCGCCGTATCTTTGTAAGTTACTCATCAAAAATATTTTTTTTGCTACAAGTTGCCGAGATAAATCCACAGACAATAAATATTATGTGTCAATATCAAGATATGGCTTGCCCTAAAGTCTTAAGTATCTTTATCTATATATTTCAGTTTTCTTTATTTCTCATTGTTCATATCCTCGATGTATATCATACATCTCTGGGCAAATGAAGTTTTCCAAATTGCTCATTTCATGCTATCAGATACGGAGACAGAAGTCTCAAGTTCAACAGTTATCTTAATCTTGGGCAGTAATAATAATAATTATAACATATTAACGATAATCTTTGCATTTGGTACAACACCTTTCGCATCAGGGGGGACATCACAAAACACTTCACGGGATGTATTGTAAAGTGGAGTGACTGCATTTGGGCAAACAGGAGTAGGATGGGGAGGGGAGTGGGTCTTTTATTGACTTCTGCACCCTGAGCAGGGTTTTCATCCTGATTTTCTCGGGAGTGACCTCTGGCAACAGGGTGAAGGCAAAATTGTTATTCCTGACATCAAGTCCTGGATGAGAGCCAACTTTCTACAGCCGAATGTCAGCAAAACTGAGACCCTCCTGATTGACTCGTGCCAGCGCTTCAACACCTCAGGCACTGGCAGCATCAGCATCAGCATCCACGGTTGCACACTCCACCTCACAGTTAGGAACCTGGGTGCCTTGTTCGACCCTCGACTGTCCTTTCCTCCCAATATCCACCATGACCCACTCTGTCTTCCCCCACATTCCCCCACTGCCTTTCTCCACAATGGCCCAACTCCGCCGTTGCCTCACCCCTCAGGCCGCCCAAATCCTCATACGCGCATTTGTCACCTTGGCTCGACTACGGAAACTCCCTCCTTGTCGGCCTCCTCAGCTCTTCGCTCCACAAGCTGCAGATCATCCAGAACTTTGCTGCTCGTGTCCTCTCCCGCACCAGGCTCCTTGACCCCATCACCCCCACCCTCGGCCGGCTCCACTGGCTCCCTGTCCCTCAGAGGAGAGAATTCAAAATCCTTGTCCTCACTTTCGAGACCTCCACGGCCTCGACCCTCCCACCTTTCTGACCTGCTGACCCCCTATCAACTTATCCACTCCCGCCGCTCAGTAGGCTCCGCCCGACCCGCCCTACCATCGGCGGCCAGACTTTCAGCCGCTCTGCCCCCACTCTTTGGAACTCCATCACATAATCCCTTTGCCTCACTCCTTCTCTTGTCTCCTTCAAGGCATGACTCGAGACCCTCCTTTTTGACCGTGCCTTCAGCCGCCCTCCTACCCCCGCAGTAGGGCTGTCAAGTAGACGTTTAAGATCCCATGACACTACTCGAAAAGAGAAGAGAAGTTTTTTTCTCTCTCCTGGTGACCTGGCAATCATTACACTTAACTAAACGTTGGTGATTCATTTCATGCTATGGGTGGGATATTACCATGTACAAATTTTCTGCTGTATTCAACCGCAGAAGGTACAGTCACTGCAATTTACAGTAAATCAGATGAAGCACTTTGGAGCATCCTCCTGACCTGAAAGTCACCAAACCCTAATGTGAAGATTCTTAACGTTCCTTAACATTTCTGAGTTTGGGATGTTTGCTCAATCCCTTTTTATTCAATGAGAAACAGTCTATCCGTTCCTCCTTGCCCAGGGTTTAAACCCCTGGCATTTAAACACTGTGTTGGTTTCCGAGATGGGTGTCACCCATAAAGGACGAGATAAGAATCCAAGTCATAGTTTGTTGTTGCTTGCACAGCTATTTTCTGGTCTTGGAGCAGAAATGATACTAATCTTGCACAGCAGCAGCTTCAAAGTTGAGACTGAATTCAGTCAATCAATCAATCAATCAATCAAGCGATCAATCAATCAATCAATTGGTCAAGCAATCAAGCAATCTTTCTAGCGTATCTTGCTGTGTTAGATTTTTAGCTGCTCTGTATGAAAGGAGATCAGAATGAAGTAATTCCCTAACATGTCAATTCCCCTCATTATTTTCACAAAATCGCAGTGGTCTGAGATGAAGAGGGCCGTTTGTCTCATCCGATCTCATGCCTTCAAAACAATCTGGTTTCCTGGCCTCCACCACCTTTTCCGGCAATAGTTGATTAGTGTAAAGAAAAGCCTCCTGTGTCTGTCTGTCCTGAAATCGCCCTTTCGACCTCTAAACCTGTGTCGTCTTGTTCGACTGTCTTGGTACGTCCTAAGGGATTGAGTTTACTCTTTCTAACCCATTTAAAATGGAGTCGGCAAATCCAACCCACGTTAGTCTAAACACTTCAAGAACGTCTCCATTGAGCTAACTCAACTCGAGGAAATATAACCCAGGTTTAGAACACAAAACTTTGCCTTCCAGCTGATCTCACAACTGAGACGAGGAGACAGAATTCTGAGTTTTGTAAAAGTAGATTCCCCCCCCCCCTCCCCCCCTCTCCCCCCCTCCCCCCCCCTCTCCCCCTCCCCCCCCTCTCCCCCCCCCCCTCCCCCCCCTCCCCCCCCCCCCTCTCCCCCCCCCCCCTCCCCCCCTCCCCCCCTCCCCCCCCTCTCCCCCCCTCTGGAGGGGTTATTTATTATTTATTATTTATTATCAGACGCGCGGAGTGAGGAACCTCACCCGACTCACGGGTGTTAGTGGGGGACGGAAAGGTCTGTCTCTACAGTCTTGAGATGACCATTAGATCTTATCGTTGCGGGTCGTCAAAGCCCCCCACCCCCTCCCCCTCCCCCCATGGTCCCATTACCCCCCATGTTCTCATTAACCCCCCCCCACCACCACCATATTCTCATTATCACCCCCTCCCCCCCCCACACCCCTCCCCCCCACCCCACACCCCACCCCCCACACCCCCCCCCCCCCCGCGCCCCCCACCCCCCACCCTCGTCGAATTGCTGCCGATGCAGAGCAGAGCAGAGCAGCGTCTGTGCCGCTAACTCAAGGGAATAACAGGAGCTGCGGCCGACAGCCCCATCTGAGTCACATGTCAATCCCTTGGTTTTGCTTTCACTTTGCAGACGTGCAGCGGCAGAATAATTCTCCGGTAGTTAATCCATCGCAGGATAACCCGCCACGGCGGGTCCCGGGGGTTGACCCTCTTGGACGCTCCCAGGCCGCACGCACACCGCATACCGCCCGGTGCGTTGGGGGTGACCGCACCCTTTAAAGCGTGTAGGGCTCTACGTGGTCAATGCAGCATCGAGCGTTGCTTTGGCAAGTCCGTCCGGGGTGTGGATTTGGATTAAAACCGGGGGCGGCCTTTTGAAGTGCGTTAATAATAATATTTGCGTTGGATACAGCGCCTTATCGCAGCGCCGAGCTGTCTCAAAGCGCTTCGCCGGCTATGCTGTACAGTGGAGCGGCTGTGTGTTTTTTTGCGGGCAAACACTTATGACCGCCGTTGGTATAATTCAGGTCTGCGGAGGTTTTCCTTGCCCCGTGCTCGGCCGCGCATCGGCCTCCATCCAAAAGGGATCGCCGAGATGTCCAAGATTGAGAAGATGAGCATTCAGGGGGTGAGGAGTTTTGGGATCGACGACAGACACAAGCAGGTTATCACCTTCTCCACTCCGCTGACGGTGCTGGTGGGACCCAACGGAGCGGGAAAAACAGTAAGTCGGTCAACTGGAAGCGTCGGAGAGAGATTGCGTTGATTGCACGTAGCGTTTGCGTGGAGTTGCCCCGTTACGTGAGGGTGTCAGCGTTATGAAACCAAGTGTTCTTCCCGTATTTGCCCGACGCCGGCTACAAACTCTGTGGGATGTGTCCCAACTTCTTGGGAGGGACAAGAGACACTAACGGGCCCTGATGTGAACGTGTCTCACGCTGGATGGGTAAGCGCGTGTCTACCCTATGCCGTCAGGTACAGTAAAACTCGCACAAGTCTGATCTGGATAAATCGTATCATGGCCTAACTCAGGGTGGTCCAATTGGCGGCCCGCGGGCCGGATGCGGCCCCCGGCCCGATTTCATCCGACCTCCCTCCATTTCGTCTGGCCCACCCACTCCCCCACACACCCATAACCCGTCAATGTTACGTAATGCTTCCGGAAGGGAAACACAAAAAATATTGCTTTTGCAGCCCGTGGATGTTTCTCAAAGAAGGCTGCCGGCCCTCAGCAGCCAAAAGGTTGGAGACCCCCCCCCCGTCCCCCCCTCCCCCTCGGCCCAAGTCGTACATCTGCCCAAATCGTGTTTAAGAGTTTACATTGTATGCAAGTTTGAGATAGAATTATGCAGCACAGAAGGAGGCCATTCGGCCCATCGCGTCTGTGCCACCCCTTTGAAAAGAGCTATCCAATTCAATCCCACTTCCCCCCGCGCTCTCCCCATAGCCCTGCAAACTTGTCCTCCCCAAATAATTATCTCTAACTCATATTTTGCGCAAGTCGTATTAGATGTACGGGCCCAACTGACACGGCTTGTGTGAGGTTTACTGTGCACCAGTCATGGTCGGGATTGGGGATTTGCAATGCAAAATTCTGTCAAAAGAAACCCTGCAGTCGCTTTCTTATAACCTACAGTAGATTGAACTGTTTGCTTTAGACAATTCATCTGTGGTCCTTGTTCTTAACTTGCCTTCTGTCCGTTTGCAGACCATAATCGAGTGCCTGAAGTACATTTGCACCAGCGATTTCCCGCCTGGAACGAAAGGCAACACGTTTGTACATGATCCAAAGGTAACTGTGCAAATCCGCTGCATTTGATTGATGGGCGTTTTTCTCCCAATATCCTCTCGTCTTCCTTGATGTTGTCAGTCTTTCGCTGGGATCTCAGCCGCTCCCTAACACGTAGGAACAGGAGGAGGCCATTCTGTGAGATCGTGGCTGATCTGTGCCTCAACTCCAATTACCCGCCCTTGGTCCCATACACCTCGATACCCTTATCTCGGAGCTCGTCATGTCTCAGCTTTTCTGACTACCTTTTGGACTCGTAAACAAATTCAGAAGAAGAGAGGAGAGTTTCTCTCTCCCGATGTCCTGGACAATGATGCTCACCCCCTCACTCACTCCCTCCCTCCCTCCCCCACACCCAAATAAAATTGGTCATTCACCTCATGGCTCTTTGTGGAGCGTTGTGAGGCACAATTTGGTTGCCTGTATGTATTTAAGAATAATAGACATTCGCTGTACCGTCACTAAATCCTGCGAAGCGCTTTGAGACGTGCTGCCATCCTGAAAGGCGCTGTATCAGATAGAAAGGATTATCTTAATTCAAGAGGCAGCGTTCCATTTTTTTGAAGGGATTATTACCACCGGAAAATCAATCCGCCAATCGACTAACCACTGGGTTCCCACTTAGTGCTCGGCAAACAGGTGTGTGTGTGTGTGTCTGTGTGTGTGGAGCAAGGAAACTTGCCCAAAGTTTTGCCCTGCCCGGGAATCGAACCAAGGTCCTCTCACTTGCGAGGCGAGTGCTCTAACCGCTGAGCTCCTGGACGCCTTCCGGCCGCCTTCTGATGGTTGGAGTTTCCTCCGCTGGACTTCTGTGGAGCCCAGAAGGAAGTGACTTGAAGGAGGCCCAAGATCTAAATCAGTTATCTTTGTGAGGTTTGCTCGGCGCCCGATGACAGCAGCAAAGAATAGCTACTAAAATGGTTTCACATCTGTTCCTACTCAGTTTCCTTTAATCCTTCCAAGTCAGAGTGCCATAGGGCAGGGGGTGACTGTGTGTATTCCTGTAACCACCAAGTTAATCATTTGGTCATTGATGGTGCAAGATAATTAGGACTTACTCACCGACTCGGTGATTTTTCCTGTGGTCAAAAAAAGTACACTTTTATTTACTGAATATCAGATGACAAATCAACTGTAACCATATCTGGAGTTTTTTCAACCCCCCCCCCTCCCCCCTTTGGGAACAAAACACTTTTATACCAAAGTTTGATAGTTTTTAAGAATTTTCGTCGTGTCCTCAATGTGCTTGTTTCGCCCACAAAATACAGTCAATGCACTGTACGATGTGTCCCGTGAAGCGCTTTGAGACCTCTCGAAGATGCAGTGAGGCGTTGTATTATTTTTACCAGTATTATTATTGTTTTTTGGGGGTCGGCCAGGTGTCTTGACACATTCGGAAATCTTCCGCTTAAGAGAATCCAAACCGAACGGAGTTCCATGCATCCTACCTACTCATGGAAATTTCAGAGGTGTTCATCGGAATCCCAATCTCACCCTCCCACCGTACCCTACCCTAACCTAACCTGCATTACACACCAATTGAGGTCACCCCCTTACCATTCCTGCATGTAAAAGAAAAGGGAGTCTCGCTTGATGCCCTGACCAACACTCGCTCAACGAACACATGAAAAAAATCTTGTTCAATGAGTCCACAGATGAGGGAAGGAGTGTGGTCACTTGATCCTTCCAGAATGTTGAAATACTTGAGTGTGATCCCTGTTTATTTGGTTGGTACATATGGTAATCATCTTCATGTTTTAGTGTCGCTTGATTCATTTTGTTAGGTAATTTGTTCTAAATAATGTAATTATCCTTGTTCCCTTCCGCCCTGCCTCGTAAGCATTGCTCATGTTTAGGTTTAGACTTCTGTTTAATTTTCTATTTGTTCCGGGTTTTCCCCTCCCAAACCCAGGAAGATCTACTCGTGTCTGTGTTGCAGACTAAACACGAGTGGTGCAAGGAACCAGTCATCTTCTGTGAGTCCAGAGGCAATGCTGGAGCTGCGATTGTGATTACGGTCACATATTCGTTCTGACATCTATCTGTTCTCTGTTTAGTAGCACTTCATCTCTGATTCACAAGGTAGCGGGTTTCATCCGTAAAACCTGAGCTCACGGTCTAGGGGGAACGCTGCTCTGCCCTGACCAACGTTCCCCCTCCTCCCCACCTGCACCCCCCCCACCCCACCCACAGATAAATCAACGGTTCGAATAATTCCAGTGATCCATTTACCACTCAAATTGGCTGCCGCATATGCACTTGACGGGAACTACCTGGGAAGCGCTTTGAGGTGTCCCGGTGTGATCAGTAATGATTTCAAATGAGGTGCTGTGTAACTGTAACTTGTTCCAGTAACCATTTCAGACAGGAATAGTCTAGTCTGCACGTCCAACCCCTTTCTCCTCTCCCCGCCCCTCCTCTCCCTCCCCCCCCCCACACCACCACTACAAAAAAAAGATAAAGATGCCCTTAAGATGCCACTGTCAGCATTGACAACCTCGGCTGTCCTGTAAAATCTACATATCTTATCGTTAATCTAGGTTGCCCACGAGACTGACGTGCGAGCCCAAATTCGTCTGCAGTTCCGAGACGTGAATGGGGAGACGGTGGCGGTGCAGAAGTCACTGCTTTGCACCCAGAAAGGGAAGAAGATAGAATTCAAAACCCTGGAGGGACTGATCACTCGCCTCAGGTGAAAAGAGTTCTTCAACTGAGCAAAGCAGCCTCTCGCTCAGTGAGGCCCCTCTGTCATCATCCACGCGGGCTGCATTTTACAGGACATCAGAATCGTAGAGTCTTACAGCACAGAAGGAGGCCATTCGGCCCTCCATGACTGTGCCTGCTCTTTGAAACAGCTACCAACTAGTCCCACTCCTCCGCTCTTACCCTAAAGCCCCGAAATGTTTCCTTTATAAATACCTATCCAATTCCCTTTGGAAGGTATTAGCAAATCTGCTTCCACCACTCTTTCAGGCAGTGCTTTCCAGACAGTAAGAACTATCTGGGTAGCATTTTGGTCACTCAACCCACGACTGTTTGTGGGACGCTGCTGTGTTCAATTGGCTGCCGGGTTTTGCCCATAAAATACACAGTGAATTCACTTTACAGTATATTCTGAGAAGCGCTTTAAGTCTTCTCAACGATGTGTTAAGGCGCTATATCAAATGCAAGGATTTTTATATCACCCTTACAGTGTAGTGCGGAAAACAGCGATGTAACGGGAGGATAGTAAGGTGGGGGGAATCTGGAAGGGTGAGATCAAATGGGCCAAAGGGTCTCTTCATCGAAACGTTCTCTCGTGATTTTAAGGTCAAGTTGCGGAACTGTATTTTTATCTAAAACCCTAATGCTTCGGATTTCTTTCTTTGAAGGCACGGAGAGAAAATCAGCCTGAGCTCCAAGTGCGCAGAGATAGACAGGGAGATGATCAGTGCACTGGGCGTTTCCAAAGCCGTGATAAACAACGTCATATTTTGCCACCAGGAAGATTCAAACTGGCCTCTGAGTGAAGGAAAAACTCTGAAGCAGAAGTTTGATGATATTTTTTCGGCCACCAGGTAAGCTTCCTTCTCCTCCAATATTCCCGTGGAGTCCTGTAGGGTAGTGGTTCGAGCACTTGCCTCGCAAGCGATAGGACTCAGGTTCGATTCCCGGCCGGGGCAAAACCATAGGCAAGTCTCCTTACTTCACGTCCAAGCAGGATTTCCTGGATTGAACCTGTGACAACTACAGATGTATGCTACAGCGCCCTTTAGATAGCTTCATCGTGCTGTATAGTATTGATCCATATCATGATTTTTATCTGAATACAGACTCATCTTCGTGAGTAGCGCTTTGAACTTTTGATTGCATCTGACCAGAAGTTTACTTTTGGTAATGTATGATGATAACTGAGGTATTCTTTCCTTATCTGCACTGCACTGATATTAATGTTAAAGCAGAAAAAAAAAACCTGCGTGTCTCACGGCTGTGATGAGACAAGTCTAAGCTGACGTTCCAACACAGCGCTGGAGGGGATGGGTGGTGTTGCATTGTCGCAGACGCCATCCTTCGGATGAGACGATAAACCGTCCTGGCCGACTGTCCCCCCACATATAAAATTGGTCATTCCCTCCGTGGGTGATTGAGAGGCGTTGCTGTCCGCAGACTGGCTGCCACGTTTCGCCCACAAAATACACAGTCAACCTACAGTATTTCCTGTGAAGCGCTTTGAGACATCTCGACGATATGATCAGGCGCTGTATCAAATGGCAAGTGAGGGCTTGAACCCACAACCGTCTGACTCAGAGGCGAGAGTGCAACCAACTGAGCCAGGCATATATCAACGGCAAATGTCTTCAAGGGTTAGTTTGTGAAGATTGGACTTGAGCGTACAATTCGGTTGCTTTCTGTGTCGGTGCGAATGCTAAGTTGAGTAACAGCGGTTTGAGTCACAGCGTGAATCTGCTCACCTTCCCACAGGTACATTAAGGCTTTGGAGACGCTACGACAAGTACGCCAGAAACAGGCTCAGCGAGTCCGAGAGTGTCAGGGAGAACTCAAGTACCTCAAACAAAACAAGGAGAAAGCCCACGAGATAAGGGATCAGCTGACCAACAAAGAGACCCAACTGGCGGCCTCCAAAGAGAATGTCCAATCGATAGAAAATCAGATCGATCCATTGGAGGTAACGCTCTTCATTCTTCACTGTGAACACCGTGTGGTAATGAATAATAAATAATCCTTGCATTTGACCCAACAAACAGGATCAAACAGATGCTTGAGGCATCCAACAGCGCCTTGGGACGTCCTCCCGACATGAAAGGCGCTATGCAAGTGTAACTTTGTATTGTATGTGAAGGATAGAGGCTTGAAGGGATGTGAGGATAGAGCAGGGCAATGGGATTGAATGGACGACTTGCTCTGAGAGCCGGTGCAGACTCGAAGGGCCGAATGGCCTCCTTCTGCTCTGTACATCGCTACCTTCTAAAACCTCATTTAAATTAAACTATGGATCTCTGCCGCAGTTATGGTTTGCGGCAGACAATTCTAATAACAGTAATAATCCTTGCGTTTGATGTCGCGTCTTGCCACGCCGTTGGGACGTCTCAAAGCGCTTCACAGGATATACTTCACAGGAGTGACTGTGTATTCTTGGGGGCGAAACGTAACAGTCAATTGCACACAGCAGCGTCCCCACAAACAGCTAGCGGGGGACTGTTGGCCAGGACAGGACACCGGGAGTAGAGAGAAAGTCGCTTCTCTTTCGAATCGTGCCAAGGGATCTTCCCGAACTGGAAGACGTGGTGTCAGTTTAACGTCTTATCCGAAGGACGGCACCTCCGACAGCGCCACACACCCCCAGCTCTGCAGTCCCGCGTCAGTTTAAAGACCAGGTGATTCCAAGTCCCATGGAATGTGGGGGCTTGTACCGCCAACCTTTCGACTCGGAAGCGCCTTGGGTGTAAAATAATTTATTTCTAACCTCCTCTTCACTTCCTTTTTTATTAAAGTAGCACCTGGATTCCATTCGATGATTATTCTCCCTCCTCCTCCTCCCCCTCTCCCTCCCCCCCCCCCCCCCCCCCACCTTCACACCCAGTGGAGATATCAAGGTGCTTTGTAATTTCCCAACTCACTGGTGGATACACTGGAGGATACAGCTCAATGCTAGAATAAGAGAGACTTCAGTCATGGAGATTAGTTTCAAACCCTGTCGGCAGTGAGACTCGCAGCAGCACACCAAACCAACCAAGTAACTAACTGACAACGTAAACCTAACGCCTCTGGAGATTACATCAATGCTGAACGGATGTTCAAATGATTTTTAAAAAAAATACCCATTACAGCTAATTCACGGCTCTTACAGCAAAAAAAAACTTTTACCTTTGCTTATATCACGGGCCTTACGAAGCATTTACGAGGGGTTTTCATTTGAGCTTTTTTGGAAAAAATTCTACGGTGTTCAAATCCCCTGAACCTGATCTCAATCTGTCGAGAAGTGTTTCTTTTTTAGCGAACAGCAGCTTTGAGGGCCTGGGGTTTCGATGGTGCAGATGCTCTGAAGCCAAGTTCACTGCAGTGCAGATACCACAGAAACATCAGCAATTGACAGCACAGAAGAAGGTCGTCGGGCCCACCGCGTCTGTTCGCCGGCTCTTTTTAACAGCGATCCCTTCAATCCCATTTAACCCGGGTGGCTGCCGCGTTTCGCCCACAAAAATCCACAGTCACTACACTTTACAGGATATTCTGTGAAGTGCCTTGAGACGTCTCGAAGACGTGATCAGGTGCTATATCAAGTTGAGCCATTTTCATCCATTAGCTGCCCACTTTGGCAGCCAATTGCGCACAGCAGCGTCCCACAAACACTCAATCGTGGATTGAGGGACCAAATTATTATTTTTTTAAAGGATTATTATTCCCGGAAAAGCAATCTGCCAGTCGACCAACAACCAGGTTCCTACTTACTGCTGGGTAAACAGAGGCTCGTAGAGTAAGGAAACTTGCCTATGGTTTCATCCAGGCCAGGAATCGAACCCGGGTCCTCTCGCTCGCAAGGCAAGTCCGGTAACCACAACGCTATTGGACTCCAGAACCTCCCAGGGTTTGTTTTTGGAGAAAGAAAGTGACTCGAGAGCGATTGCAAAACTCTTTAATGTGGTTTTAGGGTTTAGATAATGTTTCTAATCTGCTCAAACTTTGCCTTTGTAGTCAGCGATCACTGAGGTTCATCAATAAGATATAGCTGTTTGTCTGTGTTATCAGCGCTGTGCTATTTCTTATGGATTGCCGCCAATAACACATAACCAACCAATTCACAAAGCGTTTTTTTTTTTGAGTGTGTTTGTTGTGTGCATGTCTGTGGTCTTCTTTAAAAAAGAAATGGATAGTGATCTTCCAGGCTTTGGAAGAACCTAAACGCTGTATTGTTGTTGTCTTGTCCTCTCCCTCCCTGCCCTCAAAACCCATCTTAAGGACCCAACTTTTCAAGCGTTTTTGGTCAGACAGGCCAAGTGAATTTGCTTCTGTCTTGTCAATCCCAGAATCGCTTGCTGGAGATCGACCAGAGCCTGGCTAAGGTGATAAAAGTGGACAACGAGATCAAAGCCCTGGAGAGTAGGAAGAAGCAAATGGAGGAAGACAATCAAGATTTGGAAATGAAAATGGAACAGGTCGGCAGAAACTGCAGTCCCCACTTTAAGGCCATTGGTATTTGTAGCTTCACGTTTTTGAACTAGGCTTTGAAAACACTTTTACGGGTAATCTTCTCCTCCATTACCACCTTGATTGAGTTCCACCAACTCAGCATAGATTGGGAGAAAGGGTGGGGGACATTATCTGGAACCTTTCTGATCCTTGCACCTCGTTCCTATGTTAGCTATGGAACAGGTTTCCAGGTGAAGGCAATTCATTCAAATGCAAATCAAGACAGATTTCTTTTCGACAATAATATTTTGGGGGGATGCAGTGCATGAGCCATGTGAGACATGACAAGTGTGGTATGTTTGGAAGAACCAGGCAACTTTTGGATCAAAGGTTCCCAAAGCTTTCCCCTGCGATGGTAGGCAGAATTAATTGCTGTCAACATCTCCATTATCGTAGCAATGCCCCTACCAGGGTGGGAGAAGGCGAATTAGATGGACCTTGGTCTTTTTTCGTCTAGCAACTCCTATGTTCCTCAGACCAGGGTAGAGGCAGAGACATTTCAGGTGATTAACATGGAAAGTACATGACTGTATGTCTAACTGCGACTGTGTTGTTCCCTCCCCTTCCCCACTCCTTCCCCCAGGATATTTCCGACCTTTAGCCCGGGATCAATTAACGTCCGTCCCCCCTGTGTTCTGACCCTCAGGTCTTCCAAGGAACGGACGAGCAGCTGATAGATACGTACCAGAATCACCAGAGAACAGTGAGCGAGAAGACCAGGCTGGTGACCGATCGGCAGCGGGAGCTGGAGAGAGTCAACCAGAGGTGTCAGAAACTCAACCGGCAGAAGTCCGATATGCTGGTTGAACAGGGTAAGTAAATGGAGGTGGTGGGTGGTGGGGGGGGGTCGGAAGGGGCGGTGGTTTTTAGATGGAAATCCCTATCTCAACTGCCTTCACTCACTCCACTAATTTGCTGGGTGAAGAAGGGAATTAATGCATATTGCACCCACAAAATAACAGACGATCTTTACACTTTACAGTGTATTCTTTGAAGCAGTTTGAGACGTCTCGACGACATGATAAGGTGCTCTATAAAATGCCAGGATTATTATTGTTATATATTTTGCACGTAGCTATCAGAGAGATCTCCTTTTCATCAATTACAGCCCACGTTGTCTATTCATAGAAGCGCTTGACATTTCACTCAAGGGAAATGCACTCACACACACATCCTGCATCCATCAGGTAATGATAAACTTTACATCACCGCACTATAAGCGCGCGCAAAAAAACCTTAACACACCGGCCGGCGCGCACGCATTCTTGAACTCGCGCGCTCACCTGCGCTCCCGCTCTTCCGGAGAGCTGGACGACAATCCGCGGACGAATTAATTAATGTAACGAATTAATGAATTTAACCGAGAGGTTAAACACAGCCACTTTGCACCAATAGCCCCCGAAAAAATCCCCGAGTCTCACCCAGAAAATATACAGTTTACGGGACATCCCGTGAAGCGCTTTGAGACGTCTCGAAGGGCAATATCAAATGCAAATGCAATAATCAAATGGTTATTATTATTTTTATTTTTTTTGAAGGGATCATTACGCGGGGAAACACGTGTATCTTAAGGGGTTGCGGGATGTGTGTGTCTGTATGTGTGTGTGTGTATCTCCCTTGAGTAAAACATTTCCCTTCAGGGCGACTTCAGCTGCTGGCTGATCGTCAGCAGGAGAACGTCAAGAGACGCGATGCTTTGGTGCGGACGTTGGCGGGGCAGCTGGACCTGAGCGGCTACGAGCGCCCTCCCTTCAGCGATCGACAGTATCACGGCTTCCGTCAGCAGGTGGAAGAGAGGCTGAAGATCGAGCAAGAGGCGGGAAACCAGCTGGTGGTGAGAACGTACTTTTTTCATTCGGTGAAAAATACATTTATTTCCTCTCCTGCTCCGCTCCCCTCTCTCTCTCTCTCTCTCTCTCTCTCTCTCTCTCTCTCACCTTCTCCTCTCGTTCTCTCTTCCTCTCTCCTCGTCTCGCTCTCTCTTTTTCTCTCCCTCGCGCTTTCGCTCTCTCTCTTTTTCTCTCTTCCTCTCGCTCTCCTCCTGTCGCGCTCTCTCTTCCTCTCTCCCCCTTCTCGCGCGCTCTCTTTCCCTCTCCGCCTCTCTCCCTCTCTTGCTCGTAGGAACATAGGAACAGGAGGAGGCCATTCAGCCCCTTGAGCCTGTTCGGCCATTCAATTAAATCTGTAAGGCTGATCTGTATCTCAACTCCAATAACTCACCTTTGCCCCATATCCCCCTCTACCCTGACCTAACAAAAATGAATCCTCCCTCTCTCTGTTTCTTCACACTATCTGTCTCTTTTCCTCTCTCGCTCTCTGTCTTTCTTTCTTTCTCTCTCCTCTCTTTATCCTTCCCTCTTCCCTTCTCTCTAAACTCATCTCTCTCTCTCTCTCTCTCTCTCTCCTCCTCTCACACACTCTCACTTTGTTTTGGGGTCTTCGTTTGGTCTCGCAGAACGAATTCACGGAAAAAGACGCAGCCAAACAACGGCAGATCGACAAGGTCAGAGACAAGAAGACGGGACTGGAGAGAACCATTGACCTCAAGCTAGATATCCACCGCAAGAAACAGTTGGAGCTCAACAGCGTGAACGTAGATCTTCAGCAGCTGGAAGGATCTTCGGATAGACTGCAGGAGCTCGATCAAGAGCTGAAGAAGGCCGTAAGTCAGCAGGAGATTTGAGAGAGAGGAAAGGACTTGAGAGGAGCGGCGGGGAGAGGAAAAGAGAAAGAGAGAGAGAGATGGGGGGATGGGAGGAGTGGGGGGGGAGCAAGAGAGGAAATAGTGTATTCGGAAAATGGGCCGCAGTTGAGGAACACTTTCTAGTAATAATCATAATAATCCTCGCATTTGATACAGCGCCTCGTCACGTCTTCGAGACGTCTCCAAGCGCTTCACCGGATACGCTGTAAAGTGGAGCGACTGTACTTTGCGGGCGAAACGCGGCAGCCAATTGCGCACGGTAGCGTCCCCCCACAAACAGTCGTGGATCGAGAGACCAATTTGTTATTTCTCCCTCCTCTTTGGAGTCTCTGCGTAACACCAGCCAGTTGGCAGGAGCGTAGCGACGTCTACGATCTCGCAGCGACATCACTGTCATCACTGAGTAGTTATAAATAACAGCGTGAAAATGTCTGGCCACAGTTCTTTGAAATGCACAGTGAGCGATCAGGTTTCCCGAACAGAATGAGTCAAAAGTGCTCACGACCACAAGCTGAAGGCTGTTTCAACTTGTCAGGGTTCCCACGCACAAGCAGGACATTTCGCCGCCCGGACGCGAACTGGGAGGGTGGAAAAACGCACAGGGACGTGCGAAAGGCTCGCACCCCGCGCTCCCTCTGGTCCCCTTTGTGCTTTGGGCTTTGCGCTTACATAGCCGGTCCGGGGAACCATCCCTCGCGAAGGGCGCTGTTCGAACGCAAGCGAAATAGAGCGCGAGTTGGGGGTGATGTTGATGATGGCGGCACTAGTGGGCGTCGGGGAACAACAGTGCGATCTCCACGGGTTTCTCTGCTGATCGATCGTAAGAATATCGCAATTGAGTTCCACCATGGTGCTTTCCCCTCCAACCCTTCCACGCTCTCTTAACCAGCTGAAACTCTCTATCTGCTGTTAATAGTAATAATAATGAAGATAATAATAATAATCCCTTGCATCTGACACATCGGGGGTGGACGTCTCAACGCCCTTCACCGCGTTTCCTGTCGAGCTGCGGCCACATTGCCTTTGCGGCAGCCGAACTCATTTGATTTTCCTCTCTCCCCCTTTCCTCGGCCTGAGCGAAGAAGAAAGATGTAATGTTTCTCACGCGCGCGCACACACACACACACGCACGCGCGCACACACAGAAAAAGAAAAGGCAACCTGATAAGATCTTTATTTTCACGCGACTGTAGAGGAACAAGACGGAAGGTTTGAGAATGGAGTGAACCCTTATCAGGTGTCAAGCCAGTTGGCAGCTCTACCAGTTGTTGCATCATCAGCTTCGTGCCTCAAGCCCGTTTCCCTCACTTGCTCGATTGAGTCATTCTCAGTGTTCAACTGAAAGCAGAGCATTCCCTGCTGACTGCGGTCACCTGTCTTACCAGCCGTGTGAACCGTTCCGGAGGTCACTCGGCGTGGAAACGACTGCCTTAGCTTCTCCCACTGTCCCGTCGCCAACAATTTGCATAGGAACAGGAGGGAGGCCATTCAGCCCCGCAAGCCTGTTGCACCATTCTGTTAGATCGTGGCTCCGCTCCAATTACCCGCCTTTGCCCCGTCTCCCTTGATAGCCTTGACCTGACAAACATTATTCCACCTCGGGCTTGAAAATGCCTTTTGGGGGAGGGAGGGAGAGAGAGAGAGTTCTAGGTTTCCACTACTCTCTGTGAAAGATCGATCATCAACGACTTTCTCGTTGGGAGGATGTCTCGAAGGGGCTTCGCGCATATCTTAACTTGGATCCTGAGCTGGGGGCAGGCGGAGGGTGTGGAGGGGGAGAAGGTGGCTGAAAGCACGTCCAGAGGGACAGGTCTGAAGGCGGGTTTTGAAGGCAGAGAGGGAGGCAGAGGGACTCCGTGGGTGGTGGAGATCCAGAGAGAGCACGTGCAGAATGGCCGAAAGCTTGCCCAGGTGATGGGGCGGGCGGGGGCGAGGGTGGTGGGGGTGGGGGGTGGGGGGGGCAATCGTGCACAGCATCAGCGTCCCCGCAAACAGCCGTGGGTTGAAGTGACCGATTTATTATTATTGCTTACAGAAGATTATAGAAGTAGTGCCTGGAGTGCGAGCCCTAGACTGTGAGGTCAAAGTCCCAGATGTGGGGTTTTGAACCCACATCCTTCTGACCCGGAGCCCACAGAGTTACTAAGGCAACTGAACCAAGCCTCGAACAGCTCGCCTGTTAGCTGTTCCTTTCAGGTGTCGTTATAGCTCTTCATCGCGGCCTCTTTGGTCGGTTACTCTCCTCAGGAGCGGGAACTGGAGCGAGCGGAGGCCGACAGCAACGTGGAGGGTCTGAGGGCGGAGGTGACGGCTCTGCAGAAGGAGAAAGGAGAGCTCGACCGGTCCCTTCGCAAACTGGATCAGGAAATGGAGACGCTATCCTTCCACACCGTAACGCGAACTGAGATGGAGGTATCGAAGAAAGACAAGGTAAGGGTTGAGGCTGCTCTGCAACACATCACATTGTTATGCAACGTACGTTTATATAGAGTGTTCCTTTCACGTCGGGAGGACGGGGGGCGGCGGGCGGGAGGGGAATAGGAAATAAACTATCCCCCGAAGGACAGTCACTTATACTGCCTCCGTGGTTACGGTATTGGCCTTTTTTCTTCTAACTGTAACGATAATAAATAATCCTCGCAAGGTTTGATGCAAGGTTTATAACGTAAAAGCGCTTCACAAAACTTTCCGCAAAGAGTCTGTGTGGCTGTGAAGAGCCGAAGCTCAAGGACTCCAGTGTGTGTGTCTGAGGGGCCCAGGTCCCTGCAGTGTCCTGTTCCTGCATTGGAGCGTCGACCAAGATCAGGAGCTGAAGTTCTGACATGTGGGTTCACAGCTGCAGGAGGTAGTTCTTTCCTCAGAGGGGAATCAAAAGACTGGAGCAGGGTGTCAGGAAAGGTGGGTGAGGCCAGGACACTGCATTCATTCAACAAGCAGTTTGGTGCAGTAGTTGGGAGGTGGTTGAGTGTTCCGGAAGTTCTTCACCCGAACCCGTCTTGTGATCTTGCGATGTCCCGCTTGGAGCTTAAATAACGGAGACGTTGTTGCTCCAGGCAAACAAAGAGGAGCAGATCAGGAAGATAAAGTCCCGACACAATGACGAGTTGGTGGCTCTGTTGGGACATTTCCCCAACAAGAAGCAGCTGGAGGATTGGATTCACACCAAAGCCAATGAGATCAACAGCTCCAGAGAGAAACTGACTAAGATGACGTAAGTGCAGAATTACTCTCTCTCACCCCACCCCTTCCCGCCCACCCCCCATCTCCCCCTTCCAGCCCCAATGAAAATCCCTTCTACTGCATCTAACTGGTTGGCTCTCTTCTCTATGAAACAACCAAATGATTTGCACACCAGAGAGGTCATTAGACAGTTTGTTGGTTTACATTACATTACGCTATCGTGAGTGTTTAATGAGTATCTGCAACAGTCAGTCATACTACCTCCTCCAAGTTTATAGTGTAACAATAATACACGATCCTTGGATTTGATATAGAACTCATATAACGTCAAAGCACTTCCATTTGTATTTCCATACACTTGTACTTATTTGGATTTTAAGAGCGTGGAGAACTTTGGGCAAATTCCTAAACGGAGCCCTACTTTCGGAGCAGGTGAGTTGCTTTTTATAGTAACAGTACGAGTAAGAAAATCCTTGCATTTGATACAGCGCCTTATCACGTCGTTGAGCCGCCTCAAAACGCTTCACAGAACATACTGCAGCACGGTATCGTCCGCAAACAGAGATTACTGAGTTGCAAACAACCGGCTTCAAAGTCGCGACTGAATTTAACATTCAGAATTAGATCTCGAAATCTCAACCAAATCTCACCAACACCCCCCACCCAACCCCCCCACCCCCACCACCCGCCCGCGCCCCCGCCAACCCCAATGAAAATCCTTCTCCTGCATCTAACCGGTTGGCTCTCACCCTATGAAACAACCAAATGACTGGCACACCAGAGAAGGGAAAAGGGGCTTTCTTTGTAAGGTCGCCGAGACAGTTTGAGGGGGTTTGCCCCAATGTTAGTTATGGAATGGAAGCTCTTATGCAAGCTCTGTGTGTGCACCATGTAAGTCTTGTTATCAGGTGAGAAACAGAAAGATGTTTTGAGCACATAAGACGTGCGACCACAAGAGTGGCACTAGAGCAAACGGAGATTACTGAGTTGCAAAGATGGAGTGAAGATTGAGCATTCGCATGTTTTATTCTGAAATTTGTTACCGGAATTGGGCCAGGTGGAGGGGGAGAGAAGGGGAGCAAGAATGACTATTTTATTTTAATACCTGTTTCACATCTTGTTGATGGGGGTACCGACTGGTGCAATGCGGTGAAGCAGCAAATAAAATAGTGCAACGACTGTGGTTGGGAACTGTACTTGCCGGGTAACTTTCTGCTGCGTTTTTCTGACGTAACTCAGAGAAATGGAGTGTGTTTCTAAACGTTTCCACCCGAGCAAAGGTTAGTTTCCCATCCAAATCGAAGGCCGATGGAAGACGGGATGTGACGGGGAAGGGAAAGAAAAAAAACTTTCTCCTCCTACGTCATCTTGCTTCACACTGAGGACAGTTGACGGATGGGACAGATTACAGGGATGGGTGGAGGATAGGACACTGGACTCTTAAGAAACGGCTTGATGCTCTCATGCTATTGATGACTCGCTGTGTGAGAGTCGATAAGAAACACAGAGTTGAGCAAAACAAATTCATTTTACATGAACTAAAATGCAAGTTATTATTCTTATTTCGCGGGTGACAGAGATCCAACTGACCGGACGTTGTCTGTGCTGAAAGAAAATGGAAATTTGTGCTTTGGCAACGCTGTTTCTCCTTTAATAATTTCTAAAATAAAGTTTTCAAGCCTCACAGTGAACTCAAATTACTTTGATAGAGTCGTAGAGTCCTACAACACAGAAGGAGACCATTCGGCCCATCGTGTCTGTGGCGGCACTTTGAAAGAGCTGCCCAAGTAGTCCCAGTTTTTTTCCTTTTCAAGCACCTATAGCACTTTTGAAAGCACAGTCATAACAACTCACTCTCTGATTCTTTTTCTGGAACTTTTAGCAAGGACTTGGCTTCAGCAGAGCAGAACAAGAATCACACCAGCGCTGAGCTCAAGAAGAAGGAGCAACAGTTGGCTCAGTACGAAGAGAAGCTTTTCGAAGTGTGCGGAGGCCAAGACTTTGAAAGCGATCTGTACAAACTCCAGGACGATATCGACAAGACGTCAAAGCAGAGAGGTGTGTCTGTGTGTGTGTGTTTGGGGTTGGTGGGGGGAGCGTTTCCAGCAAAAGCCGTGGAGTCCTGTAAGGTATTGGTTAGAGCCCTCGCCTCGCAAGTGAGAGGATCTGGGTTCGATTCCCGGGTGGGGCGAAACCTTAGGCACGTTTCCTTATTCCACACACAAGACGCTGTTTACCCAGCAGTAAGTAGGAACCCAGTTGTTAGTCGATTGGCGGTAATAACCTTTTCCTAAAAAAAATAATAATTTGTTTACCGGATCCACCCCCTGTTTGTGGGACGCTGCTGTCCGCAATTGGCTGTCACGTTTTGCCCACAAAACATACAGTCAATCCACTTTATATTGTATCCTGTGAAGCGCTTTGAGACGTCTCGAATACGTGATAAGACCCTATATCAAATGCCAGGATTATTATTATTATTATTGAAAGCGATAGGATTCTTGAAAAGAAAGTTTGTCAAATGTTTTTTATTCTTTTGTCTCCTCCTAAGTACCCTTCTTTCCACAGTCGGTGTATTTTGTTTTGTGTTCAATGCTCACTCGTGCTTGTCCGGTGGAGGTTTGCAACCATTTAATTTTTAGGTGAACTTCGTAATACCGTAAACCACTAATATCTCATCGCTCCAAGGGAAAAGGGCTCAGTGACGAGTTACCAGGAGTGACGAGTTACCAGGAGTGGCAAGTTGGGCATACTTGGGAATAGTTGGGATAAACACACACAGAAATGCGGTCGGGATATTGGCCGTAGCATGACTTAAGTGGTAGTGACAAGTTGGAGCAGGTCGAGTTATCAGGAGTTTACTGTTAGAGATCTTATTCAGATGTGTCCGCTCTGCCCAGAACCTTCAGAGGGATTCGTGTCTCAGCTCGAGTCATTCCTTTTGTTCTTGGCTGAAACAATTGGCTAAGTTCCTGCAGCATAGGCAAGAGATGAGTTGACGTATTGTTATTGATATTAATAGGGAATCCCACTCGGGAGGGTGGTGGTTAGTGAGCTCGCCTCGACTCGCCTAACGTAGGTAAGCGTCCTTCCCTATTCCGCATGCCAGTGTTTACCTAGTAGCAAGTAAGTTGTCCGTCGATTGGCGGAGCGCTTTCTGGGGGGGAATGGTTTATGCCAGCGCGGTTAGCCAGTGGCCTGGTGTTTCCCAGACGTTCCTCGATGCCCCGTTACCTAAGACTGCTCGCTGTGCGGGCAAAACCTTCCGCATTTGATGTAACGACTTATCGCGTTCTCCAAGCGCTTCACAGAATAGACTGTCAAGTGAAACGACTGAGTATTTCGTGGGCGAAATGCGGCAGCTGATTATTATTGCCCCCCCCCCGGAAAGCGATCTGCCAATCGACTTAACAACCGGGTTCATGCTACTAGGCAGTGTGTGCGGAGTAAGGAAACTTGCCTAAGGTTTCGCCCTGATTCGCCCGGGAACACTGGGTCCTCTCGCTTGCAAGGCGAGCGCTCAAACCACTGAGCTATGAGACTCAATAGACCATGTGCTCACACGTGCGAACGTCACTGATTTGGGGGTTTTGTGCGTTTCTTCCCTGTGCCAAGCCATGCTCTCGGGAGCCACCGCTGTGTACACGCAGTTCATCAGCCAACTGACGGAGGACAACGAGCCCTGCTGCCCGGTCTGCCAGCGCATCTTCCCTTCCGAGGCGGAGTTGCAAGACATCGTCAACGACTTGCAGTCAAAGCTCCGTCTCGTTCCCGATAAACTGAAGGCGACTGAGTCCGAGCTGAAGAGGAGGGAGAAACGTCGGGACGAGATGATGGGACTGAAGCCAGTCAGGTACAAGGCGCTGTATAAATAAATGCAGATCGTTGTTGTGCGGAGATTGGTTTGGCCCAAAAGCCGCGGACATTTACGGCGCAGGGAGGAAGGCTATACTCCTCCCGTGCCTTCGCTGGCTCTCCGAAAGACTTATCATAATAATTTGGCCGCCCGATCCACGACTGTTTGTGGGGGACGCCGCTGTGCGCAATGGGCTGCCGCGTTTCGCCCACAAAACACACAGTCGCTCCACTTTACGGTACATGCCGCGAAGCGCTTTGAGGCGTCTCGAACCCACAACTTGATACGGCAGCTATATCAAATGCAAGGATTACGATGGTTATCCGTTTGGTTCCGTTTCCCCGGGGCCCCTGTTTGCGTGCTGTGTTCCCACGGGATTTGAGTTTGCTGTCAAGATTAATTGTCGATGTTTAACAAACTACCGGTGGGAACCCGGACTTAAACATTAAAGTAACATTCAGTGTGCGTGCGAGCTTTTTCTCGAGATTAGATGGCGAGAGATTTCGCGCGGGCAGATCAGTAAGGTGACTTTCGTCCCAGCGTGTAGCTCTGCTTCCTGCCGTGCAGTAAAATGACCGCTAGAGGGATCCTTTCACCCCAAAAGCTGCAGGCGCCGATTCAGGGCAGTGTTGCTCGCTCCTCCATTGGCTGTTCCTCCAGTTGGTAAACGTCACTGCTCGGCGTGGAACAAAACCACAGCCCAGGTCTGATCGACAGTTTAGCTGAGTTATCACAACTCAGCCAGTTTGACAGTGGGGATGAAGGAGTTTAAACCGAGATCACGTCTGCCTGGTCAGGTAAATGTTAATGATCCCATGACCCGATTTGAAATCCCTCCCCCCCACCCCCAAAAAAAAACAATTGGTCGTTCATCTCGTGGCTGTTTGTGAGACGTTGCTGTGGGCAAATTGGGCTGCCGCGTTTGCCAACAAAATACACAGTCACTACACTTCACAATAAGCCACGGAAATGAAACCCTTTTGGGAAGTCGTTCCTGACGTGAAAGGCGCTACACCAAATGGCAAGGATTATTTATGTGGTTGTATGTTCGCCCTGCGCTCTTATGTAACCCTTAATGTAAAGTGACCTGTCGGGTTTCTTGCTCCGCAGGGAAACAGTGACCGAGCTGAATGAAAGGGACCTGCCTGAGCTGCGGAACAAGCTGCAGAACATCATTCGCGACATTCAGCGTCTGAAGTGCGACGTGGAAGAGCAGGAGACACTTCAGGCCGCCTTCATATCTGAGGAAGGCTCGGCCAAACAGTGTCTACAAGACATCTCGCTCATGGATAGGTATCAGGTAACCCCAGCACAAACCGCTTTATAATAATCATAATAATAATGATCATTGCACCTGATATAGCGTCTTATCGCGTCGTCAAGGCGTCTCAGAGCGCTTCACAGAATATACTTGTGAAGTAAACTGATCGTATAGTTTGTGGGCGAAGCCCAGCAGCCAATTGCGCACAGCAGCGTCCCACAACCAGTCGTGGATTGAGTGACCAAATTATTATCATTTTTTTTCCCAACTGTGTGGAAATCTTTCGGGGCGAAATTCCATCCGGATTGTAGCATCCTGGAGCCTCTGGAATTTGTTAGATTAAGCGCAGTCATCGTTTTGAAGCCGTTTTTTTTCCCCGTACGTTTGTTTTAAGAAGCCACCGAAAACCCGACAAGTTGCCAAATTCTGGATGATCCGAAATGTGAGTTCGAATCAGAGAATCCTACAGTACAGAAAGAGGCCATTCGGCCCATTGTGCCTGTGCCGGCTCTTTGAAAGAGCTACTGACTAGTCCCACTCGCCCCGCTCTTACCCCTTCGCCCTGCACATTTTTCCTTTTCAAGGACCAATCCAATTCCCTTTTAAAACCCACTATCAAATCCAGTTCCACCACTTCCTTTCAGGCAGTGCATTCCAGACCGTAACATGCACCGAGACAATAGAACAAGTGTACACTGGTTTAGCGTTGCAAGGGGGCAATTTCAGGATAGACACCAGGAAGTTTTTCTTTACCAAGAGGGGACTTAACACCTGGATGGTATTGCCAGGAAGGGCAGTGGAGGCCAGGACACTGGGACTCATTTAACAAGCAGCTCGGTGCTCTGATGGGAGAACTTCAGGCTGGGCGTTCCACAAGGACGAGATCAAAGAGCCTTCTTCATCCCAAACCGATCATGTCAATGTTTTGTTTGGAGTGATTAACGCTGACACGATTTGGGGTTCAAGAAGACGTTCGAGTGAATTGCTGAGAACGTCCAAGAGAGGGAGCTAACTTAACACGTACTGTGAGAAACCATACAATCCAACACCGTCTCACTCAGTCATTCGCAGGTTCCACCTCCCTCATTCTGTTTGGACTCGGGAACTCATCCAATGCAAGTCACTTCAAGTCATCCGCCCTTTACTTTACAACAACAACAACAACAACTTGCCTGTATACAGTGCCCCTCAGGCCCCGTGGGGTCTCGGAGCGCTTAGACACTGAATACGTTAGAAATGTAAAGGATTTCTGCCACAAAATATACAGTCTAATTCACTTTACAGTCTATTCTGTGAAGCGCTTTGAGGCGTCTCAACGACATGACATAATAATGCGCGGCATCAAATACTGAATAATAAATTAATTAATTAATTAGAAAACCGGTGCTCGTGGTGGGGATTAATCCCAGTGTGTTATTTTGAGACGCTCATCGACTCAGTGTCGTGTTTTTGAAATAAATCCATTTATAGTTCCATAAAATAGATCGATATAATTCCGAATTAATTGTGTTGCCCACTGCTGCTGCATCCTCAGGCGTGTTGGGAGAGGGGGTGTCAGGGTTCCAGTCTGCGTCGGGGCCTGTGCTTATTATCGGTTTCTTTTGACACCAAATAATCAGATGGAGCTGAGGGACGTAGAGCGTAAGATCGCTCAGCAGGCAGCCAAGCTCCAGGGAGTCGATGTGAGCCGCACTATGCAGCAAGTCAACCAGGAGAAACAGGAGATGCAACATAAGCTCGAGACAGGTGAGGGCTCCCGACTGGTAAGAGCAGATCTCACAGGACCCAGCCACCTGGGAGGAGAGACCGAAGTTCTCTGGTTCTGTTCTCCCTACAACAGAGAAGGTCGAGAGGAGACCTCTAGAGGTGGGACTTACGCAAAGTATGAGTTCCTGTGAAACTCCCATAAATTACAGGAAATTCAGTGGGATTTGGGCAGATAATCCTAATAATCCTCGCCTTTGATATAGTGCCTCCTCGTTGAGACGTCTCAAAGCGTTTCACAGGATATGCTGTCAAGTGAACTGACTATATTTTGTGGGCCAAACGTGGCAGCTGTTACACAGCAGCAGCGTCCCAGGTACGTGACTCGGGACGATTACGCTCACGGGAGTTTTACCGTTAAGAGTGATGACCGTCCCCGCACTTGACCGTAACGCCTCGTGGTGTGGTTATTCTCGTGGCAGTCTCGAGCCGGGTGGAGCTGAAACGGAAGCTGATCCAAGACCAGCAGGAGCTGATCCAGTCGCTGAAGAGCAGCCTGAACGAGGTGCGAGCTGAGAAGCTGCAGATCGCCAGCAACATGCAGCGGCGGCAACAGCTGGAGGAGCAGAGCGTGGAGCTGGCCACCGAGATCGAGTCCCTCCACAGAGATATACGCGTATGTTGGCCCGAGGCCAGGGAATGACCTGCTCGCTCCCCTGCCCGCTGCCTCCGCCCGGCTGGCTCCGGCCTTGTCCCTCGTGCCCTCCGTTCCACCGTCAGCCGCTACGCTCCGAAACTCCAGAACGCTCTTCCTTTATTCCCTGCCCCCCCCCCCCCCCCGTATCGCCATCCCCTTCCTTCCCCATCTTCGGATAGCGTCTTGAAGCCGTCCTCTTCGACCGGGCCTACAGTCAGCTCCTCCCCGCGGCTGGACGCGGCGCTCCGCCATTGTCGAGCGCTCCAGGACGCTGTCCTGCGTGAGGGGGCGGGCGCGATATATATGCGAGTTGTTGTCGTTGTTATTGGATCGACTGCGTGTCTTGTGGGCGAAACACGGCAGCCATTCGCGCATAGCAGTGAGTGTCCCACAAGCGTAGCCGTGGATCGATTTGACCAAATTATTGTTTTATTTAGTGATATTTGGGGCATTCGTGCCCACAAGCTTCTGAGCCAGAGTGTTGCCAACCTCTCGGCCGAGAGTTAGAGGGAATAGTCCGTCCGTTGATCAACAGACTGTTTCCGTTCCGGTTTTCAGGAAGCCAAGGAACAGCTGTCTCCTCTGGCCGCAGCTTTGGAAAAACTACTGAAAGAAAAGCTGGATCTGATGGAGAAGAAGACCGCGAGCTGCAAGGAGATTCAAGAGAAGGTCAAACCCAACGAATACGCGCTGTGCTCTCATTCCAACCAGAAAATCCCAGCTCTCCCAGGCTCAGGCCCCGTGGGTTTAGAGTAGTGGTGGCCAACCTTTCTGGCTGGCCAGTAAAATACATTTTCATCATCGGTTTGTGCCATGAATCAAGAAATATTCAATCAAGAGAAATTGGAAGCACACTACCGATCGAACACGGCCTTAGCTTAGTCTCAATGTTCGGGGGGGGTGGGAGGGAGGGTGAAATTGGGCTTCTTGACGCTCACGTGGGCCACCTCCGGCCCGCGGGCCGCCGGTTGGTCTCCACTGCTTTAGAGAAGCACAGAAAGTTTACAGCATAGAAGGAGTCCACTGTTACAGGAGGGAGAAGGGAATAGAGGGGAATAGGAGAGGGATAGAGGCTTGAGTGGGGTATAAACCCCAGCAAGGACTAGTTGGGCCAAGTGTCCTGTTTCTGTGCTGTGTCGATCTATAGAGTTGGTCCGTTGTTTCTTTTGTAATGTTGTTTCGCAGCTTTGCAAAAGAATCCTTGGATCCGTTTGCTTTTCCTCATCAAACAATAACTCTCGGTGGGTCGTCTCTTCTGCAGATAAATGACGTGAAAGAAAAAGTCAAAAACATCGATTGGTTCGCCAAAGAAATTCAACGCTACATCCAGGAAAAAAAAGATGAATTCAAAGAGGTAGGAACCCGGGCCTTCGGTATTCCACCTAGTCTGAGCCTGTCAACACATTTTGGTCTTAAAACTTAAGACGGTTGGAATTCGAGCCAAATTCAAAGCCGGTTTCTTTTCAAGAACTTCCAAATGAAGTTGTAAGACCTAAACGCTTCCCAGCGCTAAGGCCCGGAAGGAATTTCGAAGCGCGCCGAAAACTCTTTGAACCGACGGTTGGGAAACCGAAACACGGACCCGTTCCCTTCATTGTGATTTTGTGGGCATTTTTTTTTTCATGTTAAAAATAGCAAAAGGAGTCCGAGCTTCAAGAAACGGTCACCCAACTAAACGAGGTGGAAAAGCAGCGAGAGAAGATTCAGAGGGACATCGAGGCTTTCCGGAAGGACATCGATACGCAGAAAGTAAGGAATGTCTGTTGGCCATGTTTGGTTCTCTGGTGCAAACACTATTTCAGTGAGCGAGTGACAAAAATGTATGGGAGAGGCTCCCTGGGGAGATGGTGGAATCACAAAGTGTCGATTCTTTCAAAAGCTAACTAGATTTCCTTTTAGGAAATAATACAGGAACGTATTTCTATATAATATTGAAATAATATATCGGGACACAGTATATAGTTTGGACGTGGCGTGTGCCAGCGATGGGGGAAGACGAACTGGATGGATCTCGGTCTTCTTTCGTCCAGCAAATTCTTATGTTCTAAGAGCTATCATACAGGGTTTTATGCAGGAGGCAAGAGGCTGTGCGGAGCCAGTCTCGATGCAATAAGCGACACTGTTGGAAGTGAAGCATCACAGTTGACGGCTGGTAACAACTGCTATATTTCTGGTGTTCTGGCCAACTAAATGGTTATTTCTGAGACGTTGTGAATGAAAAATCCAGTGACTGTAAAGCAGGGTGTCGAAGGGACTAAAAAGGAAATTTGTTGAGTTTGAAAACATTTGCAGGGCTACGGGGGGAAAGAGCAGGGAAGTGGGACTGATTGGGTAGCTCTTTCACAGAGCTGACACAGGTACCGTGGGCCGAATGGCCTCCTTCCGTGCGATTCTGTGATTAGGATTCTAAATCCAGAAAGATTGAGGAAGGGAAGATTGAGGAAAGCGATGATCTCCGTCTCATTAACGTCATAGGGAACAATGAGTTGCAGATGGGGCAATGAGCCGTTACTCAGAAGGCATGTAAAGGGGAAAATCCAGCGTCTCAATAGCCCCAAGTGGGTGTGAGCACCACCAAAACAGTCAAGGTTGCAATTGCCTATTTTAGCGAAAAGGTTGCCATGTAAGTGCTTTCAGTTGTCACCTACTCTAATCTTGTGAAATGTTCTGTTTTTAACAGAACTGTTTTTAACTATGATGTCCTTCCAATGCTTTGCTTCGGTTTTCCAAACCAACAGAAGTCATTTGAGGCATTTGCAAATGGTAAATTTGGGCTTTTTTTTTTTTTGGAGGGTGGTGGGTGGGGGGGGGGGGGGAGTTAATCTTTCTTTTAAAAACAAAAAGACCTAGAGATCTGACGAGCACATTAGCGCATTATCCAATAATAATAATATTAATCGTTGCTTACACGTCGGGTGGACATACCAAGGCTCTTCACACACACACACACACACACACACAAGATATCCCGTAAAGTGCAGTGACTGTGTGTTTCAGTGTGGGCAAAAATGCAATGATGCCTTTTGACAAACAGGAAAAATAAGTTAAAACAAAATTCAGCAAACGTCTACCTAAGTGACCCGAGAAAGCAATGCTTCCTCTTATCAAAATTCAGAAAATGTATTCATCCATTTCAGGATGTGTGTGTGTGTGTGCGCGTGCGCGCGCGCACCTCTGTTTGTGATAGCACCTTATCTCAGAGAAAATGGTAGTTATTTTTTAACCATTGCTGTAGTGGAAATTAAACTAGTGCTGAGCTTCACTTTCAGTAAGTGGATTGATGGGACTTTTGAAGATTCACTGTCTGTGTGACTGCACACAGCAGATTTCACTGATAAGGAAGAAGAGTTTCCTTATGACACTGTATGTTTTTTTTGATTACAAAAATACTGATTTGGCAGCACCAGAAGGCGACACAGTGTCTTTGCAACTGCCCTCCCACCCCAAAAAAAAAATCTTGAGCAAGTTTCGAACCATTCCTATTGATCCAGTGTAGAGGAAACCATCAGTACATGGGCGCTATGATCCAAACGATCCATGATCTCAATTGGAGAGTCACAGAAGTCTGTAGCGAAGATGTCAGCACTAGCTCTCAGAGCAAGATGTCCTTTCAGCTCCACTGCCTCATCTCCTTACCCTCTTCAGCTGGAGAAGGAGAATGAATGCTCTACGTTCACAGAGAAACTCCATCCTCTTCTCCTCGATCCCTCCATCTCCTCGCCCCCTCCTTCCCCGTCTTTCTTTTCCTCTTCCGGTCACCTACCCCCCACCTATAATTGACTGTGAACTTAAGAGTGGATCGAGGTGACGCAAATTCATTTCATCCCTTGTGATTGACCCAGACACCCCTTTGACTCTCACTCCCCCTGTAGTAGCTCTACATATATAAATTGTTCACTCGATTCACGAACTGTTTGCGGGGTTTGGCCCACAAAATACACAGCCAATTCACTTTGCAGCGTATCCTATGAAGCGCTTTGAGACGTCTCGAAGACGTGATAAGGCACTGTGTCAAATGCCAGGATTATTATTATTATTATTATTCAGACACTGCGAGGAAGCGACCGTCAGCGAAAGGTGCTTGGGTCCAGGTGTAGATTTAGTTCTTTTCTCTTTCAAGCTTGAGGAGAGGTGGTTGCAGGATAATCTGACCTTGCGGAAACGAGTGGAAGAGCTGAGAGGTGTGGAGGCCAAAAGGCAGGATCTACTGCAGCAGATTGGAGAGATGCAAGTGATGCAACTGAAAAAGTAAGAACCATGTGAAGCTAAGGTTGTTCCCAAGTCTTGTTTCCCATATCGACCTGTCCGCTCTCTCCGCTCAGCAGGCTCCGTCCTGCTCCACATTCCCCCCCCCCAGCACCACAGTCCAGCCCGCCCCACCACCCTCTCTGCCCTCACCCTTTGGAACTCAAACCCGCAGCCCCTTCACCTCTCTTGTCTCCCTTTCCTCCTTCAAGACCCTCCTCTTCAACCGAGCCAGTCGCCCTCCAACAATCAGTCACCCTCCTACCCCTAACCCTCCACCCGCTCCCTGATCCCAACCCCCAGCTCGGGTCCCAATCCCTGACTGTCCAGCCCCTCGGGACGTCCTCCCGACGTGAAAGGCGGGCTGCTGTTTCCAGCCTCTGTGGTTCTGTCTCCTCTCTCTGGGAATTGAATCACTCGCATTGATTTACTGAAGTCCAAATGCTGCGATTCAGATGACAAGCCGTCGATATTCGTTTCCAAATCTGAATGAACCTTGCCACCTCAATATTGCCCTAAGTGTGTTGAGTCAGACCCTGCCAAGGATTCTCATCGGTCTCGATTTCCTGTTGAATGCGCACGGTTACCCGCGGTTTCAATAATGCAGATAATCTGATACCCAATGAATGATTCTATCTTAAAATAAGAAGCGGAGAGCGATTCCCAGGCAGGGTAAAACGTTACTTAAACGGTTTCTTACACCACACGCCTCTGTTTACCCAGCAGTAAGCAGGAGACTGGTCGGTGGATCGCTTTTCCGGGGGTAATAATCCCTTCAGACATAAATAATTTAATAATAATAATAATTTGGTTACTCAATCCATGACTGTTTGTGGGTCGTTGCTGTACGCAACTGGCTGCCATCTTTCGCCATCTTTTGCCCAGTATACTTTACAGTATATTCTGTGAAGCACTTTTGAGACGTCTCAATGACGTGATAAGGCGTTATATCATATGCAAGGATTATTTATGATTATTATAAATGCAAGTTGTTGTTTTACTTTGGTGTCATTGATGAATTCCTAGTTATAATATTGGTGTTTTTTTTTCCTTTTTTTGTCTCTCTCGCTCTCTCTCTCACTCTCTCATTCTCTTTCTCTCTCTCTTTATCTCCCTCTCTCGCTCTCTCTCTGGCAACCAGTGAACGTAGACAGTTGGACGAGAAACTGGAACAGCTGAAGGACAATCGCAGCCTGGCTCACGGACGCCAGAAAGGATTCGAGGAGGAGATTCTTCGGTTCAGGAAGGAGCTGAAAGAGCAGCAGTACAAAGACGCCGAGGAGAAGTTCAGAGAAATGATGATCACCATTAGAACAACCGAACTGGCCAACAGAGACCTTGATATTTATTACAAAGCACTGGATCAGTGAGTAGCAAAGAATGCATTGATCCGCTCTGACCAGCTTGTGTTATAACGTGGAGTCCTGTAGCGTTAGCGGTTAGAGCACTCGCCTCGCGAGTGACAGGACCCCGGTTCGATTCCCGGGCAGAGCGAAACCTTAGCCAAGTTTCCTTACTCCACACGCCTCTGTTTACCAAGCAGTAAGTGGGAACCCGCTTGTTAGTCAAATGGTGGCTCGCTTTTCGGGGGATAATAAACCCTTTAAAAAACAAGTAATAATAATAATTTGGTCACTTCAATCCACGACTGTTTGTGGGGACGTTGCTGTGCGCAATCGCGGGTCTCACCCACAAAATACACAGTCACTTCTCTTTACAGTACATTCTGTGAGGCGCTTAGAGACGTCTCACCGATGTGATAAGGCGCTGCATTAAATGCAAGGATTATTATAACGAGATGCAGGTCTGACAAGTGCTGGTCATGTGTGTTTTGCGTGTGTTGTGTGTGTTGCGTGTGTGAAGGAAATGCTGTGTCACCATTATTGCTTGTTTCAATGCATGTTGTTTTGCTGCATATTACTCATAATTAAGGGAATCGCGGGGGTGGGGTGTGGGTAAGTATTGCCACACTATGACCCAGTAAAGCGCCTTGGGACGTCCTCCTGACGTGAAAGGCGCTCTATAAGTGGAATCTTGTTGTTGTTGTTGTTGTAAAGATCCGTAATGGGATGCTTTCAGTTCGATGGCTCGTTCCAAGGTTATCGGTGTGATGATGTGATACAGCGCGTTTTCCAAAGTCCCCACGTTTGATATTGCGCTGTCGAGACATCTCCAAGCACTTCACGGGTTTCGCTATAAAGCGCAGTGATGAGAACTGTAGGCGAACGCAGCGGGCTATTTGGGCGCAGCGAGGTCCCACAAACAGCCGTAACACAGCACAGCAGACGATGATTTTGATGGCCGGAATTATCTTCGCGAGTAGCAATAATAATAACACTTTCACTTGATACAGCGCCTCATTACGTTGCTGAGACGTCTCAAAGCGCTTCACGGGATATACCGTAAAGTAAATTGACTTTATATTTTGTGGGCGAATCGAAATAGTAACGAAATAGCCTCCTAAATGACTATCCCGTGGTCTGTTATATATGACACAGGTTTTTTTATTACTGTGGACTTCGGTTTATTTCAGACCCATGTTGAGATTTAGCTTCGACTTTTAAGTGCAAATGCTTTAATTTCTATGACTCTCGAGACACTCATCACTGATAATTGAGTGTGTTTGTCCCAAATGAGACGAATTTCAGGACACCAACCATTAATCTCCACTGGGGGAAACACGACCAGTAAGAGGGGTATTAAAGTGCCCGCTCAGTACTAGTTCTCATTAAAATTAATTAGTGGTTAAATAAAACATTCAGAAACAACATTTCAGATGCTGCCGTCCTAACCTGTTAGCTGAAGCTGCAACCTTTTTAGACGTAAAAGGTTTTCCATTTCATCTCGTAAATTCACCAAATTTAAGTTCAGTTAGTGGTGCATTAAAGCAAACCTCCGATGCCATGAGCCTCCTAGGATTCTCCCTTACATTTGCTCTAATAATAATAATAATCCTTACATTTGATATAGTGACTTACCACATCGTTGAGACGCTCAAAGCACTTCACAGGGTAAACTGTAAAGTGCATTTACTGTGTATTTTGTGGGCGAAACACGGCAGCCAATTGTGCCCAGTGGGGTTCCACAAACAGTCATGACCAAATAATTATATTTTTCAAGGGGTATTACCCACAGAAATCAACCGGTCAATCAACTAACTGGGTTCCTAGTTACTGCTAGTTTAACAGAGGTTTGTGGAGTGAGGTAACTTGCCTAAGGTTTCGCCCCCATCCCGGGAATCGACCCCAGAGCGCACCCAAGCTCAGAGCGGTGAATGAAGGAAGGGAAAATACCGCTAAAAATGTCAAAAGCCACGAATATATTCAAGTCATTAGAACAGTTACAGAGAGGGGAACTGGATAAAATCCCAAGATTTGGACACCTAGCACCGAGTAAAGTTTGGCCACTCTGGGACATTTCTCCCCAAAGAACGAAGGAGGCTTGAGCCTGTGTTTAAAATTTATGAAAAGGATTTTCCTTCCATGTCCGAAATTCAAGGATAGTGGGTCTGAGAATGAAAATAAGGTCATCGAAAGGACGTAGGTAGCTGGACATCGCACTCAGAAACACACTGAAAAATCCCACCATCGATTGGGTCATGTCATCTTTTTTTTGGCGTCCAATTTCGGACCAATCCGTGAGATGGATGAAGTCAAGGGACAGGAAATGGCAAATGCTACGAATGTAAATTCTCAGAGAAGTGATGAATATCACTGATGGTTAATCTTCTGTCAGGATCAGCTTTTGAGCAACAGTCACATGTTGCCTGGCGGCTAGAACAAGTGTCACATTCACCAGCGGCACGTAGTGTAGGAAAGTTCAAGGTGGGTTTTCACAAAGTTTTGTTTCACGTATGTCAGGCATGTAACGGGGAGGGTGGTCCTAGCTGGACAGGCAGCGGGAAAGCCTGCCAGCCAGCGCTCTCAGTGGCAAGCTTAGCTGGTTAGACTCCCACGGTGACCCCAACGAGCGCACAGCACACTCTGGGCTCCCCCAAGCCTTGGCTCTCGCCAACCTGCGCCTAATACTTGCGGGAATTCGGTATAAGCAGGAGGCGTCCCTCCAGGGAACGAGAGAGAGAGGGAGAGAGAGAGAGAAATAGAGCGCATTCCTTTCCAACAATCTACCTCTGGGATTTCCGTGTGCAGGTGGGATGGGTGGAAATCTCAGTTTGGTTTAGAGACTCGTAGGCAACAGTGATGGGTTTCCGCATGTGTCAGACACCCGGCTGAACCCCCCCCCCACCCCAAAAAAATTCTGTTTCATTTACCAAAGCTGAATTGGTTTGAGAAATGTGTCAGGCAGTCTTTCGGAGAAGTATCGTTTGTTTGCTGAGGCACGATTCTCATTTTTTTAATGGAAGTTGGATGGTGAACCAGATAGCGAGTTAACACACTTTACTCTTACTGCAGTGTTCAAATCCATTGGGAACCATATGCTGAAATTCTCTCTTTCTCTCTCTCTCTCCCTCCCAACATCTCAAAGCTCTTCACAGGGTTTTACTGTAAGCGTAGTCGCTGTGTATTTTGCAGAGAGTTTGCGCACAGCGACGTCCCACAAAAAGCCGGGAAGCGAATGACCGATTCTATCTGGACTGTTGGGCAAAACACTGAGAAACGCCTTTCTCTTTTCCAATAGCACCATTTTATCCTTAACCTAAACAGACGCAGAACAGGACCTCGGTTTGAATACCTCATTGCCCTCCCACCCCACCATCAAAGCTCTGCATTGGAGTGACAAGCTGTGGAACCCGGTTGCTAGTCTATTGGCGGATCGCTTTTCCTTGGGTAATAAGCCCTTCGAAATATTTTTTTTCAAAAATAATAATATGATCACTCAATCCACGGCTGTTCGTGGGGACCCTGCTGTGCGCGATCGGCTGCCTCATTTCGCCAACAAAATGTACAGTCAATCCACTGTACAGCGTATCCTGTGAAGGGCTTTGAGACGTCTCGAAGACGTGATAAGGCGCTGTATCAAATGCAAGAATTATTATTATTATTAGACTGAGCTCAAGGTCCCCGATGTGGTGGCTCGAACTTCCCAACATACTAATCCAGAGGTAAGTAAGAGTGCTAGCAACTGAGCCTGTTGGTATCCAGAGTGTTACAGAACAGCTAGTGTGGCTATGTTTGGGTGATGTGTCGATCTGAGGTTTTGGCGGAGGTGCTAAGGTTTATTGCTGAGATCGAGGAGATTTCCTGTTAGCTTGATTGTGCTTATCTTGACTCGGGAGCACTTGACACTGACATGACAAAGTATTTTATTTTCCACCAATGTTAGCATTTTGTGAAGACTGAGAAAATTCCAGCATCTTGACCTCATTTCACCTCTAACCCCATGAGAATGATTCTTTTTAATGTACTTCCTTTTTGTTGAGTCAGGTCTCTTGTGTCAGGAGAGACAAAAAGTCTTAGATAGCAAACCTCACATAAGTCGTATCAGTTTGGGACCCTACGCTTAGTACGACTTATGCATGAGTTATGAGTTAATAATAATAATAATCGTTGCATTTGATACAGCGCCTTATCACATCTTCGAGACGTCTCAAAGTGCTTCACAGAATACAGTGTAAAGTGAATTGATTGTATATTTTGTGGGCGAAAGACGGAAGCCAATTACACACATCGGTGTCTCAGAAACAGTCATAGATTGAGTGACCAAACTATTATTTTTTAAGGTCAAACTTGGATAGGATATAAATTCTTGAACCGGACTTGGGCAGATGTACGATTTAGGGCAATTATACAGATCGGACTTTTTGCGAGTTTTACTGTATAAGTTGACAGAAATCCGGCACTTTTATTTCAGAGATAATTTCCTGAACCTGAAAACTTTGGCTAATGCGGTGCAATAAAAAATTACGTTTGTATTGCGCCTTCCACATCGGGAGGACGCCCCAAGGTGCTGGGTGGTTGACAAGGAGGTCTTCAGACATGCCTTGAAGGAGGCAAGAGATGCAGCGAGGTGAAGGGAATGTGGGATGGAGGTCCAAAGGGTGGGGGCAGAGAGGCTGAAGGCTTGAGAGTCTTGAGAGAAGGCGGCTTGAGAGCAGGCCTTAGTGAGATGTGACACATTTTAAATGGGATTGAGAGAAAAAAAAGTAAACCAAACACAATATTTTAGGCTGCAGCGAACAGAGCAGGAGAGCAAGGTTTTATGGTTGCAGACGGGGGCAATTTTTAGGACAGAACAGGCAACCGGGAGCTCGGTTCAATGGGGGTTAGAAAGTGCCTTACGGCATCTTCTTAGGAAAGGACAAACAAACTGACCTTTTTAACTTGCACAAGTCAGATTTGCCGAGCACACAGTCGAACTCTGGAAAAGTTGTCTGACTCATTTCTCTCAGCTCTCTGAAGAGAAGAAGCATCGATTAGCATCTTTTGAAAATCAGATAAATATTATGTCTAAGACGATGCGTTATAATAATCAGCAGTTTTGAGTCATATCGCAACCAAACGTTTACCAAAAAAGATGCAGGAAATGTTAAAGTTTTGTAATAACCCCAATGGGTCGATTTATAGTGAGTTTGCACCTTATTCAGGAGGCCAAAGAGCACTGTCCAGTGAGCTTCAGAAATCCTATAACCACCTTAAGTCCATCTAAATTTTATCCGCTCCCTCCTTCCGGGGCTCCAGTGGATTACACAAGCGCAGTGTAGATTATCGATTAAATCGGATTTTATACGACGTATACAAACTTGCAGCTCCGATTTTGCGGGAGTCGCGTCAGTCACGGTCCCGACTGACACGACTGGACGTGAGCTTCACTGTACGTGACAGAGATCTTCCCAGCCTCTCCCGCTTTGTGTGTGTTTGTTCTTTTTTTGGATCGCCTTAAGTCGATGCCCTCCAGTCAGCGACTTAACCAGTCAGCGAGGTTGACTCCTTCATTGCTTGCATCATCGGAAAGCCGTTCTCATTTTCGAACGCCCACTTTCTCATCTTGGGGGCCACGCTTCGGAAGGGGGCGGTTTGCGCGGAAAAATAAAATGCAGCGGCCAATCGAGATTTTCTTCAACCACATCCACCACCCCCCCCACCCCCCCCACCCCCCCTCGTTACTTAGTGTTCGGTGGTCCCGCTCGCGCTTGCCGTGCAATTGTCGCGTTCGACCCTCGTGCTAAACCCAACGCAGTTGAGTGCGGTTCTCTCACCACACTGCCCGCCCACCGCACCGCACCGCCACAAGAGGGCGATCTCCTCAACCTTGCCTTCCTCGGTGTTGGCTAACAAGTACAACACGACCCAATGCAACAGGAACGTAACGAGCCTTCAACTGAGGAAGGAAAACCTCTTTCGACCCTCTCCCGCCATCCCCCCCCGGCACAACCCTCCAACTTGGAATGCCAGCGTCTGGCACGAATCCCCTGAGGAACCATCCTGCGGAATTTCCCCCCCAACTCTTTCCCTTCCCAGAGGTTAAAGGGAGCAAATTTCCAAAGACACCCACCGTAGATATTCCTTTAACTCTATCATTATTGAGTTTGGAACGACCGCTTTATTGACACGCTATTTCCGTGACCCTTTGGTTCGAGGGCACCCATAGCGTTCAGTCCTTTTCTCCGCGGTGTTTAATCATTTCTGTCCGCCTTCGCGACTCTCTTAAGGCTCTGTTCACAAACACTCATGTACGTTAACCGTGAAGCTTACAAAGCACTTCACAGAATATAAATGAATAATGATAATCCTCGCATTCGATACAGCGCCTTATCACGTCTTCGAGACATCTCAAAGCCCTTCACGGGACACACTGTAGAGTGAACCGATTGTATATTTTGCGGGCGAAACGTGGCAGCCAATTGCGCACAGCAGTGTCCCCCCATAAACAGTCGTGGATTGTAGTAAATTATTGCAACCTTTTTTTCGAAGGGTTTATTACCCCATTACCCCCCCCCACCCCCTCGCACCACCCGCCCTGAAAATCACGATCACTGAGCAATTAATAAGTGGTTTGATTGCATTTTATTTTTCAGGGCAATAATGAAATTTCACAGCATGAAGATGCAGGAGATCAACAAAATTATCCGTGACCTGTGGAGGAGCACATACAGGGGCCAAGGTACTGACTGAAATGTCCCAGGTTGAAGAGGTGTAGCGACTGAGGCTGGGCGGGACGGGGCGGGACAGGGGAGGGGGTGGGGAACATTGGGGGCAACTAGTCAATGTCAGCTGAGTGGAGGGGAGCAAGAGTCTGGGCATGTGTGGTCCTAACCGTTGGAGAGGTAACTAATGGTTGTCAGTCACGAAGGGCTTGTGTTCTCTCCGCTAGACATTGAATACATTGAGATACGTTCTGATGCCGACGAGAACGTGACGGCTGGGGACAAGCGGAGAAATTACAATTACCGGGTGGTGATGGTGAAAGGCGACACGCCACTCGACATGAGGGGGAGATACAGCGCGGGGCAGAAGGTGCGTGATACAGCGCTTCCTGTTGTGGTCACACAGCGAGTAGTGTGGGTCATGACATGGGCATCCTTGACAGGTTCGCCGCCTGTCTGCAGTCAGTTGGGACAAAGGCAGGATTTCTTGGATTTGGCCAACACTGTTCAGTTTGCTTGAAATTCAAATAGTCAAAAAAGCCAAGGTGCTCTGTGCGTGCGTGTGTGTGTGTGTGTGTGTTTGTGCGTGCTCGTGTGTGTGTGTGTGTTTATGTGCGTGTGTGTGTGCATGTGCATGTTTCATTCTCTCACAGACATTCTCTCACACCCTTTCTAACTTGTCCATCTCTCTCCCCTGTGTGTTCGTGCATGTCTGTGGTATTTGTGTGTCTCTATCTCTATATCTGGGGGTAATAATCCCTCCCCAAAAATGTGGTCGCTCAATCAACGACTGTTTGTGGGACGCTGCTGTGCACGACTGTATGCCGTGCTTCGCCCACAAAATACACAGTCGACTCACTTGACAGTGTATCCTGTGAAGCGCTTTGAGACGTCTCAACGACATGATAAGGCGCTATGAGAAATGCAAGCATTATTATTATTGATTGCCTACTTACCTGAATCGGATCTCTCCACTGTCTCCTGGATTTGAAAGCCATGTTTGTTTGCCACCGTAACCTTTAGGTCCTGGCTTCCCTCATAATCCGCCTGGCTCTCGCTGAGACTTTTTGTCTGAACTGCGGAATACTGGCTTTGGACGAACCAACCACCAACTTAGACCGGGAGAACATTGAATCATTGGCTCATGCCCTGGTGGAGTAAGTGTCTAAAAATCAGTATGAATTTTCCTCGAAGAATATTTTGACTGACCGGCAGATTATTTTTGTTTGTCCAGTCGGTCTCATGGCGTGGCAACTGTTTCATTTAATATCGAGCTTCATTGCGTTAAAAATACCAAAGGCTGTGCTGATCCAGAAAGGTCTTAACTCGTAACATATCATTGCTGATTTTTGCCGATTAAGCATTTCCAGAATACTCTATAATCTCTGTATTGCGTAAGTTATGGTCTGATGCTCGAAAGTAGCATCAGCAGCAATTTTCACTAAGTGAGCATCTTGCAGGCAAGAGACCGTTTCAAAGTAAAACAACAACAACTTGCGTTTATACAGTGCCATTTAGGCAGGGTAGAGTCCCAGAGTGTTTGACAGTGGCGGAGCCAGACTCCCGAGGTGGGGGAATTGTGGGGGGACACGTTTATAGGGCTATGGGGATAGAGCGGGGAATTGGGATTGATTCGGAAGCTCTTTTCAAAGAGCCAGCACAAGGCACGATGGGCCGGATGGCCTCCTTCTGTGCCGTATAATTCTATGATTCTATGAATGGGGGAGGTGACCTATTAACTGTGATGTGAACCTATTAACTATTGACCTAGTTTAACCGGGTTGCAACACAGTTCAAACACAGAATCCTAGGAGCTAGGATACAGGCTATTCAGCCCATTCAGCCTGTGTTAATGCTCGCTCCTCCATGATGTAGAGATAAGTACTCTAATCCCAATGTCCTTCTCTCTCCGCGCCCCCCCCCCCCCCCCCACCCCCGTGCCCTTTTCCAATTGTTCCTTTGCGCGTGTTTATTCCTGGTTCCTTTTTGAACGGTGTCAAAGAGTCTCAGCTTTTGACAACCGCTCGTGGGGACGGCATTTTCAATGTTCCAATAAACCTCGGCCCGACAGAAGTAGCCTCCGAAAGGCTGTCGGCCGTGTGCGTGTGTGTGTGTGTCCTCTCCTCCGGCCTGAACTCGGTCCTCAACCTAATCATTGTAGCTCAGTGGTTAGAGCACTCGCTTTGCGAGCGAGAGACCTGAGTTCAATTCCAGGCAGAGGGCGAAACCTTGGGCAAGTTTCCTTACTCCACACAGAGCCTAATAATAATCCCTCCAAAACCAAAAACAATAATAAATTGGTCATTTTCAATCTGCGACTATTTGTGGGACATTGCTGTGCGCAATTGGCTGCCGCGTTCGCCCACAAATATACAGTCAATTCACTTTACAGTGTGTCCTGTGAAGCGCTTTGGGTCGTCCCCCCGACGTGAAAAGCGCTATATCAAATGCAAGGATTATTATTATTATTATAATTTGTTCTTCAGCCATTGTCATGGCCATCGCGGTTCCTATACCTGCCACCAGGTCGCAGGAGAGACACTGAACAACAGATAACCCTTCAGACTGAGTTCTGCTATGAATTGTCCCAGTGAAATTAATGCGCTCAAATTAATATTGGAGCTTATTGTATCAGAAGATCAAGTCTTATGTGTGTATATATATATAATAACTATATATCTATGAATATATATTACATAAACATCTCACTCCCTCTTGCCTTGTTCCAAGGCCTGTCTCAACACCCTCCTCTTCGACCGCACCTTGGGTCACCCAACTATCCCCCCACCCCCCCCCCCGCCCTCCACCCCCTTCCTGATCCCAACCCCCAGCTCGGGTCCAAATCCCTGACCGGTCCAGCGGCCAGCGGCTTGGGACATCCTCCCAACGTGAAAGTCAGGCGCTGTGTTTAATGTCATTTGTTGCTGTTGTTGTTGCTGTTGGATTAATTGGGTCGAACGGCCTGTTTCAGTGCTGCGACGCTCTGCGTCAACTCTTGTGTAAAATTGTCCCTCCCGTTTAACCCAGGATAATCAAGAGTCGATCGAACCAGAGAAACTTCCAGCTTGTGGTCATCACCCACGACGAGGACTTTGTGGAGCTGCTGAGCCGGTCGCAGTACGTCGAACACTTTTATCGGGTCAAAAAGAACATTGAGCAGTGCTCGGAGATCATCAGGTGCAGTGTCACCTCTCTCAACGCCCACGTTCAGTGATTGCGTGGGCCCCTGCTTGTGTGTCTCTTACACATACACACCATCACCACCTTTATCTCCAAATTATCTTCCAGTCATAGCTCCCGTGTGAAAGACACACTTTGCGTCGAAGTTTTGGGGTTGTTTTTTTTTTACAGAGTCAACTGATTTGATTCCGATTTTGGTTGTCGACGTTGGGTTCATCAGCATCTCGGTAAACATGTTACATGGTTAGCTATCTGTCGATCCATCGATCTGCTATTCAGCAGTGATTCATAACACCCTTATCGTGCCAGTGTTGCATCTGCAGGAAAGTAGCGCAGGAGTGAACTTGGTATAACCACATTGCTGAGAGAAGTGTAGGTTATACGGTGAAGACGTTCCACCACTAGGACGTCTCCCCTCTCCCACCCAGCCCACCCCCCCCACCCCCACTCACTCCCGTGCCTCCACGAGGTGCGGAAGGGATGGGGGCAAAGGAACTTCACCCCAGACTGCGACCCATCCAGATTTTCCCAGCATTTGGTAATGATTTATTCCTTCTCAGCTACAGGCACCTTCCCGTCTTCGAAGCTCTTGAGCTCAAAGACAAAGTGAGTAAGTCAGTCGCGGTTCGGAGGCAAATTCATTGCCTTCCCTTCGTGAATGGCAAGAGCCAAATCCCATTGCTTCGCAAGAGCTGATTTCGAGCAGTAGGAAACAGAAAGAATTTACAGCACTATACCCGAGTGAGACAGACTGTTGTACGATTTATATTGAAGTTCGGTGTTGTCACAGTGAGCGTTTTGACTTCCTCAGTCAGTTGTCGTTGAATGAAATGCTTTAAGGACCGACTTTGCTTTTGGGGGTTGGGTTTCCCGAGCCTCAAAAATGCAACCGTTACGATCCTCATTCACCAATAAAGTTTTTCAGTTGTATTTGTGTGGGGGGGGGTGGGGAGAATGGAGAATAAAAATATGAAATTCTAATAAAAAAAATTGGGAGATTTTCCTAAAAGTAACAGTTGAAGTGTGTTTGGTCAATTTGGACACCTCAAAGCCACATATTTCTGGTACGACATATCGAACTCTACAAATAGCGACTTGTTAATGAATTCATTAATGTTCAATTATATTATTATTACTACTACTAATAATAATTGTGTTTGGTGCAGCATCTTTCTTTGCCGTCTTTATTTTGATCGTTTCACAGTTATTACTCCAAAACCACAAAGGACTTTTGACACCGTGAAGGATCCAGCACAGAGTTTTAAAGTATTGATAAGCAGAGGGGAAAAAAGTCCACGTTTTCATATAGAAAGATTTTAAATGAGTTTAAACCTCACAAGGGTTTCCCCTGTTCACCTCCTGCCCGCACTCAGATATCATGCAAGTGTCTTATATTGTATTCCTGGTGTCAAATTAGATAGATTTCCGTTGGGAAATAATATCTCAGTGTATAGTTCGGGACTCGACATGGTCAAGCAACTGCCAGGATGGTGGAAGGTGAACTGCATAGACCTTGGTCTTCTTTCGTCCAGGAAATTCTTATGCTCTTAACATCATCAATTCTTTACAACAAGTAATTGTAATTATTATCATCCAAATTCCCCTCCAGAGAATATTCGGGTTGACCAGCTGAACTCGACTGATTCAAGAACGGAAGTGGCTGGGAACGCTCAGCAGGTCAGGGCAGCATCTATGGAGGAAGGAAGTTGAGTCGACGTTTCGGGTCCACGACCCTTCGTCAGAACTGGGGCGTGTTGGGAGGGAGAGGCTTTTAAGGGCCAACAGAGAGGTGGGGGAGGCAGGGCAAGGAAGACAGAAAATGGGGTAGAGGAGAGGGGATGATGGGTTAAAGAGCTGTTAATCCTGCAGAACAAAGGGGGAAAAGATTGCATCAAAATAGGTCGACCATAGAGAGACCATAGTGTGTCTGGGACCGAGCTGATGGTCAATATTGAAATAGAAATCAATATTGAGGCCAGAGGGCTGCCAGGTCCCTCGCAGATAAATAAATGAGGTGCTGTTTCTCGAGCTTGCGCTGTGGCTCATTGGATCAGCGCAGGAGACCGTGGATGGAGAGGTCAGAGCGCGCGTGGGAGGGAGAGAGCTGAAGTGGCAAGAGACCGGAAGCTCAGGGTTGTGCTTGCGGACAGAACGGAGCTGTTCGGCGAATCGGTCGCCCAATCTGCGTTTGGTCTTCCCCCAATGTAGAGGAGACCACATCGTGAGCAGCGAATGCAGTAAACTACATTGGTGGCAATTCACGTAAAGCGCTGTCTCCCTTGAAAACTGTGCTTGGGGGCCCTGGACAGTGGTCTGGGAGGAGGTGAAAGGGCAGGAATTGCATCTCCTGCGCTGGCATGGGGAGGAGAAGTTGGTGGGGATGGAGGAATGAACCAGGGAGTCTTGGAGGGAACAGTCCGTTCAGAAAGATATTTCAGGGAAAGATAAGTTTCGTGGTTGGATCACGCTGGAGGTGCCGGAAATGGCCCGAGAAGTATTTGTTGGACGTTGAGGCCGGCGGGGGTGGAAAGTGAGGACGAGAGGGACCTTCTCACGGTTCTGGGGGGCAGAGGGGGAAGGGGTGAGGGCAGAGCTGCGGGAAATAGGACCGACACGGGTCAAGGGCCCTGCCTACCGCAGTGGGTGGGAATCCTCGGTTGAGGAAAAAGGAAGACATTTCTCTGGTGTGAAACGGTGGCATCGTCAGAGCAGACGCAACAGACCCACGCGTGCTCTTGCTTACACAGGAGACGAGAAACCCAACTGTTTGTTTTGTGGATTGTTGACCACAGCACAAATTGGCCACGTTCGCATTCATTTCATTTGAAATGATTGAATTGTCAGAGCACGTCAAAGGCAGTCACCCTTTCCCTCAAAATTAAACGCAAAGTGGTTGTATAATCACTTGTGTCATTCAGCCCACGTGTTCCAACACCAGACCCTGATTAATCGTAACTTGAGCTGCAATTATAATTTGCCCGACCTCAAACCAAATGATGTTTGTTCCCAACGACATAGGTTTTATTTCTTGAATTTCACTATCAGGCCGACCAAACCCAAGATGTCATCAGCAACATGACCAGGAGCTTCCTGTTGATTCTTAATTTAAGCTGCCTTTGTAAATCACAGAGACAGAATTGGCCTCCAGTCTCTCTGTGCGTACGAAATACTCGTCAAGTATGAAGCCACTTACAATCGCGTTCATGTTTCTCGTCCTGACCTTCTCCGAAGGCTGCAAATGCAGGGCAGTGACTGAAATTATCACAGACCTGGGCTTTCTGGAAAAAGTAAGTAGCTCGCCTTTCGATTAACGTTCGTTATATTTCTTTTAACAGCCTCCGCAGGCGGGTGGTGCCCGAAAGTCGCTATTAGAAATGCAATTTCTCCTGCAGAACCCACAGTCGCTGCACTTTACTGCAATGCCGTGGAGCTGCTTTGAGGCGTCCTCTCGACGGGCAAGGCATGTCCCTGCCAACAATCCTCCCAAGAAAAATTGCTCGGTGGCTTCCCAGGTTCTTTTAGGACACCGTTGTGCACAAAATGGCTGCTGCATTAAATAATAATAATCCTTGATATCATTTGTTGTAATAATAATGATGATAATCCTTGCATTTGATATAGGGCCTTATCACGCCTTCGAGACACTTCACAGAATATACCGCACAACGAATTGACTCTATACTTTGTGGGCGAAATGTTTTGCCGACAAAATACCCAGTCACTACACTTTACAGTGCCTCCTGCGAAGCTCTTTGAGACGTCCTCCTGACGTGAAATGTCACTGTATCAAATATGAGGATTATTATTATTATATAGGTTTGCACGGTCTTAAAAGCTTCTGATTTGGGGTTTTAACCAATAAATCACCTCCGATATGAAAAAAGTAAAATTGGTGTTCACCCAATAATCACCGGAAATGACTAGTCTGACGTAATGAGGTGAGGTTTCCTTGCTTGCTTGCTCTTGTTGCCTCCTTGGTATGTGTTAATATGTTATTTAATGTTTAATCTCACATATAATTTAGCATTTAAATTAATATTTCTCTCTTTTGATTTGCCTTTCAGCACATGGCAAAACTGGTCCCGGTCATTTGGAATGAAAACATCAGAGTAAGAAGTTACCTTTGCTGCTATTTGAGCGCAGATGATGTCCCCCTCCCCCACCTTTTTAAGTAAAATATCGACGATTTTAGAATATTCAATGATAAATAAATTCAGCGGATGGAGAGGGACACGTTCCAACGGCAATGGGAAGACGTGACAAAGTGAATCTCTCTGAATAATGTCTCTAAATAATCGATTGAAAATAATAATAATAATAGTAATAATTCTTGCGCTTTATATAGCTCCTTTCACATCATCCTATGTCTCAAAGCGTTTCACTGATTTTTAAGGAATTTAATAACCTTTTTAATTCTGTTTCGTTCTTATTTTGAAGCCATCCAACGGGTCTGTTTCTTGCAAATCCCACGATGTGCTGAGAAAGACTGTGTTGAACAGAAGTGGCTTCGTAGCGAAACGTACTGAGCAATTGATCCACAACCTTTTAGCTGTGGGCAGTGTGGTAAGTCCCGACCGGGAATTGTCCTGCGAATGTTCATCTCGGGCCGAAAAACCACGGGGGGAACGCGATGGCAGCCGCGTGTTTTTCAGAACGCAATTGCATGAACCGTTACATTGGACACAGCGCCTTTGGTGTCGGGAGGACGTCCCAATGCGTATCGCATGGTTTTACTGTCGAGCAGTGACTGGGCGAACGTGAAAGAGAGCGAGAAACTTTCCAAAGATGGTTTGGTTTATCACAACCATTCCCTCCGAGAGTATTGTTACACTGCACCTCCTCAATCATGGACCTCCAGCAGCCACTGCCGCCACCCCACCACCAACCCTCCCTCCCTCCCTCCCTCCGCCAACATACACACACACAAACATGTGCGTACAGACACGCGCGCATACTCACCCCAAACGTGCCACACGCGCCCGCGCAATCCAATTTGGAATGATTCGGTCTGCATTTCATGTCGCTTCATTCCTCGTTTGTGTTTGGGTTGTAGAATCAGACGTGCGTGCTGAACGCGCGGTCGGAAATCGACCTGCCCGCCCTGCTGAAAAGCCTGAAGGACGAAATGAGGCGGAGGTTGTGACAGACGCAACGGAAATCGATTGCCCGCAATCGTTCGGGATTGCTGGGGGTTTACCCGGCAATTGTCAGTTATCAATTATATTGCTCTGATATTTTTTTCTGTCTTTCACTGTATCTCTTAAAGCAGTCATCAACCACTGCGTGATGAGTAATGTACAACTGAGAGTTGTGACCGTAGCAGTTATACTGATAATTAGA